CGAGAAGAAATCAATAACTTCAAAAGTTGAATTCAAAATAAATGCGTGAGATTGGAGCTCAACGAAGGTGACCACGGCCACAGTTTCTTGGTTCGAGGAGCATTCTAGTGGATCGGTTTTAAAGGTATAAAAGGCAGTAGTTTTCTTAAGTAATCACTATTGTTACTTCCTTTCTCCGTTATTGCAGTGTTGTAAAAATAAGAAGTAGAAACAGCCTACTAAGTGAAAACAAATTCGTGAACGCCTAATTTTCTTCCATCATTCTTTCTCGTCGAACAACTCACCCACACTGCAGTTACACCCGTTCAAGTTTCCTAATGAATTGTTGAAGTCTAGTATTTAAGTACAGCAAAGACATCTCAACCTCCCAAATGGCAATTTTTGTCGTGCGTGCTATCTTCGCCAGCAACTGCATCTCATCTGCGAAATATACTCGCCTAAAAACAGCATTTTGTGAACTAAGTAGGTGTAGGTAAACTATAAAGTGTAGGATTTTTACATTCATCTCACGGATCACAAAAACCGGGGGGACCATCTGATCCTTTTCCTAACCTTTGCTGACTATTAGAAGGCGTTTGGGAGCGTCGTAACTCGTCGAGCAAGGAGTGGGCCTGTCCTAAAAAGCTAGTAGGATAAAACTCTCGGCACTGATCAATCCCTGAAGGATGCGCCATGCATTCGCCTTCATTAAGCATCGTTTGGAGGTGACTGAATACATATTTGGCCTTTACAATGATTCGCGGTACCTACCGATGTATCGAACCAGTGCTACTACCCTCCCAGACAAATCTGGTACAAATTTACCGACTCCGGAGGGACGGAAGGCTTGGTGGGCCATGGACGCGGGGATCGATTCGAGGTGTGTGTAACAAGGCGCCTCCGACCACTGCGCTACACGCGCGCGATGTACAATATATGCATAGTCTGATATATCGATTCATATATATATATATATATATATATACGTTTGTATATACGTAGATATGTGTGTATAAAAATACTAGTGTGGTACATGGTTGTGTGCCTGGTTTATATTGCTTATATATATATATGTGTATACATACGTATGTACATATACACATACATATATACATATATATGCATATGTATATATGTATGTATATGATGATGTACGACAGCGTTTATTCTCTCGGGTGCGCCAGACGCGTAACGAACTTCACTCCTTTTCTTGTTAATATAATAGCGCGCTCCATCGTGACAAATCGAAGATTTGATTGGGTGGACCATGGACCTGTGCATTTCTTCCGGATCTCTATCTACTATGATTTTCCTTGAGAAGCAGCTAGTGGCTTGGCTTTTTTTTTGGGTGTTGGTTTTAGCTCCTCTTCAAAAACTGTATGCCGTAGTTCCTAGGCTGTTCTGTGACCAAGCTTGGGTACTTGGTGAAGTCTTTCCTTAGTAGCTGATAAAGAATTTATCGTTGTATTTGTTTAGAATACGGTCAAGTTAAACTTGTGTGTTTTCAGTAGCAGTCCCCTCTGATGTGATACCAAATGGTCATTTTCTGTTCTAGTAATTGCACAGGTAAAAAATGGAACTGGGTGATACGAACGAGTCTCAACTTGACGAGTCTCTCGATGGAGCAAATACAGTAGCTGATGAGGAGGAGATTGATGAATCGATTTTGGATCAAGTGATTGAAGTGGAAGAATCGTCGGATTCTCAGTCTGACACGCAGTCTGAAACGGTGGGTTTTGATATTTTCTTCTTACATTTGATATGGCGTTGATGGTTCTGTCCACTTTTCTTAATTACAAATTATTATTTAATTCGTGTGTACTCTTGTGATCAACAAGAAGTGTCCAGTTCGTTTCATGGGGAGAAAAGACGGAGTTATTCTCGAAAACTTTTCATCTGCTGTTTAAACTTTGTCGATTACATTTTGATTTTGGTCACAACTTTAGTGACTATACTATTCATAGAACATTCACTGCAGTACTAGTACTTTGAGGGATAAGAAGCTTTATAGAGAGCTATTTGAAGCTTTTCTTCTCGATATCTACGCGTTCTGTCGAGAAAACATAGAGTCAGAAGTGTGGACCTGTGATATTGTCGCCTAGAGACTTTTTATTTGAATGCTAGCCTTGCTTTCGGCCCTTTAACTTTAGTAGTTGATTCGGTTGCTGTAGTGGTGCTATAGCGCATAACTGTGACTGTCTTAAAAATTTATTACGTTCTTTTTAAAATTAAGTACCTTATTAAACCAAGGGACCCACTTTCTCTAAACCTTCGTATAAATAATCGATATATTTATTTATATGTCTTTTTCTTATGAGCTGATCTTGTTGAGCAGCAACAACGGCAGCTTATACCAGTCTCGCATCAGCTCAATAAGGTCAGTTCATAGAACATATAGGTAAGTACCTCATTGTTATATATTTCCATTGTTCTGATTGCCAGATTTTTCGCCGTTCGATTTACTACACAGTAACGAATAAGATCTCTGTGTGTTTAAATCAAAGAAGATCTCTTCTTTCCAGATTTATTCTTAAGCTGCTATCTTATACCCGAAAAGTATCGCTGTTTATGTCACCCAGTGCATTTTAAACGTATACGGCAGACGAATTGTTGCAATGTTGTAAAGACGACAGTTAAAATCGGTTATCTGAACATTTTTGACATACCGCTTTGTATTTGGTTAGCTACCTTCCCACAACATCAATCGTTTCTTGCGAATTTTGCGTATAAATGACTGCCGCGTACGATTAGAGATCGTACGTTGGAAAATTAGAATACCTGGCTTAAGGCGATTTTATTATTTCTGCGTAACCGGCTGCATTTTAATATAAACATTTCTATGCATTCTTTAAAATCGTTCTTGACATATTTTGTTGAGAATGGAAATGCTTCTAAACAACTGCTTTGAAGAGCATATCATCTTCTTCTACCACTGAAATGAAAGAGGGGAATTCAAACTGTGCACTGAACACGGACAGCGAAGAGAATCCAACTCAGAATGGCGATGTAGCACCGAAGGTAGTTTCCGAGTCTTACTCCCAAGCGTACTTTAAACCGAAGTACTGTATGTCAGAGAACTCAAAGAATGCGTAGCAGCAGACGTTCGCAGAGTCAACGACATGGGTCTGATGAAGGGAATGTGCAGAAGGATGAAGATATGGATGTCGATCACAAAGGTTAGAATTTTGACCGACAATTACTTTTCTTTGGAATAGTGTTAAAGTACTTACACTTTTAAAGTGTAATGCTAACAGAGGTAGAGTTTATACACTTGTATTCCAACCGTTCTTTTCGCAGCTATGCTAAGCAGTGCAGATCGAAAGATACAAGTTGGTGATGATTTCCAAGCACATGTGGATGAAACTCAAAAAATTGAACAAGAATCACAAATGACGGGAGAAGAAAGAGAGCAGGCGAGTTATGCAGTTGTTGATACGTGTTGATCGATGTATCGCATTGCTGTCTGATTTGTCTCTCTTTTAAGAGCGCGATGCTTTATAGGTGTTGTGGTGTCCTCCAGGAAATCTTGACGAAAACAAACTCATGGAATTTTGTGAAGATGCAGTCGGTGTTTACAAGATCTCATACGACCGCGTAAGTTGTCAATTCCCTGATTCATATTTTGTATGGCTCAAGCTTATGTGAATCTGCTGCCGATTTTTTTGTGGTTTGGATTTCATCAAAGCAGATCTGATTTATTTTTTACAGGCGCTGTGCATTTATTACGAAAGGAGATTTTAGGCGCTATACATTTTGCAAAAATCGAACTTCGATTTTAACGTTGCCCGAGAAAAACTGAAGAGACGCCGTTTTGTTGCTGAAGAATGGAGTGAGGATGACCGCACACTTTTCAAGCAAGCCTTTCATATGTTTGGAAAACGGTTCGACAAAATTCGTCAAACAGTAGGTTCTAGATTTATAAGAAGCGACGTATACAGTTGTTAGACATAGTTAGTGAAACTCCATGGAGTTTTTCTGAATGTTTCTTCAGATGCCTTACCGATCAATGGCTTCTCTCATCCAGTTTTATTACAACACCAAAAAAGACATTGACTACAAGAGTCTGTTCGATAGTAGAATGGCGAATGAGTCAGACGACGATAAGTGAGTCCTCTTTAGCGAAAGTTATTCTTGTTTGAGTCCGTATTTCTCAGGAAAAACGATTGGTCATGTGTTGTTTGGTGGTAGAATTCCAAAAATTTTACGTTACAACTCTGTCAATCATTCCTTGTTTCGGAGTAAATGTCAATTCCACAAGCTTGAAATTTTTTTGGATAGAATAATTTGCCACTTAGCGACTGAAGCTGGTATTTTTTCAACAACTTTCATTCTTAAGGAGTTCAGAATGTGGTCTGCTTATAGAGAAATAGCCTTTCTCTGTCTAGCCAACGGCAAGCATAGTTCTTTAAAACGTCTGTTTGATTAAATTTGTTTGGAATTCAAGTTTCCAGAAGTGAAAACAGAATTTAAGTATTTAAAATCTCCAGCGAATTCTCAACCGCCATAAACACTGGAAAGTTGAGGACACCGTCGTATTCTAATGAAACAAATACGTCCTGCTGAACCGATTTCTTTTCCGCAATACGCACTTTAAAAAAAAGTTGCACGAAATACATCGTGATGAAACCAGAAGGCTTTCATTTTGTAGGGAAGATTTATAGACTGTAGTAGTTTTTACTAAGAACTAATAAAGTTCACCTCGATGTGGTATGTCTTGGTTCCAAGTGGAACGTGGCCGTTGTTTTTGCACCGTATGTGTAAGAGTTAACTCATGTTAGTTTCTTAGTATTCAGGATATTTGGAATGATGAAGTCCAAAGACGAAGACTACAGTAGAACCAATCTTATTTCTATAGTAGTGTTTACAAAATAATTTACAGAGAGAAACATATACGTCTTTATTAGTTAGCAAAGCGTAGAAATATTTGACGGTTATTTGGAATTTAACCTAAGCAACTGATATGTTTTGTCTATTATTGTATGTGCTTTCGCCACATTCACTGGTTATACCGTCTTCTTATTCTATTTTTTCTGACTTTCTTCTCTTTGCTTTTTTTCATAGAAGAATCCTTCAAGGTCAATCTCCTTGTAAATTTCGTCTGGTATATATCCTTGGCGTACAGCATATTCGAAAACGGCGAGATGAATGAATAGGTATTGCTCGGGTTTCTGAAGTTCCATAGCACTTTCAGTTAAAATTGCGTTTATGATGAACGCGAGCTTTATTAGTGTTAATGATTTAGAGGCACCGATCAGTGCAACTTGCAATCCTCTTCCTAACTGGATATATTTCATCCTTATCATAATTCTTAGGACAGCAAATAAGCGACCGTTTACACGTTTTTTCAGTGTTTTTCTTTCTTCCATTACTTACATTATTGCGAGCAGGCAGACAAGTAAGCTGTGACACTTGCAGTTAACTGAAACTGCTGGAAACTTACCACTGTCGTTGAACTAAAACTAAAGCTAAAAACTAAAACTAAACTAAAAACAAACTAAACTTATCGCTTACCTGTATAGCCATGGCACGTTGTGTTCGGAGTCGAAGTACAACGTCTTCGACATCAACGAAAGGGCCGCATTTCCGTCTCGCTGTGTCGTCGAGCTTTCTGAGGCAAATATCGAGAGCAGTTACCATTGCACTCCTCGCCGTACCAGCGAGACAGTGAATAACTATCGGGCTGCTATAAAATTTATCCTGTACTTAAACAAAACACTAAGCACAAAAAGACATTAGAAACAGGTATCTCACTTTTCATTAGGTTTGAGCCAGCCAGCGCCAACAGCTTGCTTGATAAGGAGCTCTCTGTTATAATTGATGTCAGTAATAAAATTTAGCACCTCTGTTGGCTTTTTTGGTGTTCCTCTGTATCCCCATGAAAAGTAGCAAAGGTGAAGAAGAAGCCGTTCTTCTCCTTTATGAATGACCTGCAAAAATCTTCTATGTGGTTGACAAGGTAGGATTATGAGTAGTCAGAGTGTATGCAGTGGAGAACGAACACGCGCTGTTGTCCTTACCGGGGAGCCCGTTGACGGGTGATTGCTGATGGCAAAAAGATCGATAGAACTTGCTGAGATACATGCAAAGCGAAGGACCCGGATGGTGTAGTGGTGAAGTGCGCTGCTCCCCGGTAAGGACAACAGCGCGTGTTCGTTCTCCACTGCATACACCTGTGGTCCGGAGTTTTGCAGATATCTCAGCACTTCATACGAGATAAAATAGTCTTTTTGCGAGGTATTAGTGAAGCAAAGACGTTTTTCATAGAGCAGAATGAAAGGGCAGAAAGGAACAAAACTGAATAAATTGGTCGGCTCAGTTTACTAGAAACCTTGGTGTGAATCCACCTGTTTGCTACCAATTTACACAGTGGTCTACTGTGCAGATGAAACATCAGTTGACATCCGACGTTAAATGAAATTACACCGGACAGTCTAGACATTCGGAATATTTCTGATCCTCGATATCCATTGGAGTGTATGTCGAACACGAAGTGTATAGAGTAGTGATGAGAATATTCGGTAAAGAAAGAATGGATCCCAAGAGGGCGCAGGTCTTTACGGGATGATTCGTGGCTTACATTCTTGGCCATTCGCATTGGACGACGATTTAAATATAAATCATGAAATGGTACTCGCAGGCGCATCAGTATTCAATATTGTCCCAAAGGAATAAAAAAATCTCACTCATCTAGCCGAGATGATTAAATGCGTTTTCATGGCGTGGGAACCCGATTTTAGTATTTCTCACTGCTGTCTTCATTTTGAATTCTAGGCAGTTGTTTATAAAGTTTTTCCATAAGCGCGCGCTATATCAGTTACAAATTTTCTTAGGGCTGGTACAGGTATTTAGTCTGATGTTCTTATCTACATCTTTCATATGCAGTAGTTGAACTTGACAACCTTGATCAGGGTGGCGTCGTATGTTTCTCTAACACAACGAGTTCCACAATGGATGAGGTTGATATCTTCGACTTTACAGGTTTCTCCTGTCTTCTTTGGTATGTAGGTAGAGGTCCACTAAAATTTTTACTTTAGAACAAAATCATTCACTACCGCGGTTACTATAACCGCTTTTTTTACAGCTCAACATATTAACCTCCGCTCCAGTAACGTCAAACATTTGAATCATAGAGACGACTACCAAGCATTTTTCCTGCCACAACATTTTCCAAAATTGACTCGTTGTGTGAGGAAGAGGTGCTTGGGTTATAATGTACTTTTTTGGCTCTCGATAACCATCCACCCAGTTTGCATGTATGTAATCATGATCCTCGAAGGAATGTCTAAATTGCGAAGTTTATATTCTTTGATGATATCACATCCTAAAATTTAGATAAAATCCTAATAGTGTTGGTTTAGATAAAATCCTAATCATTATGGTTGTCAAATCAGGATCTAATGCGTTTGTAAATCTTACTTGACGTGTACCCTAGTTTCCTCTATGCAAGGAATATCGCTGAAGCGATTGTGATTGCCGTATTTCCAGAATGTTGTACTGCAACGATGTGTGTCGTGCTGCAAATGATGTGATGCAGTTAGGTCTTCCCAGGAGTATTATGTCTACGTCATACGCAATTCTTTTCTTTATTTTTTTATTTTCATTGTTTTTATGTGACCCGTCTTCAGTCTGCTGTGCGGATCCCAGCACTTCTCACATTCGATTTCTTTCCTAGCGTCCGTTATTCACGAAGGTCTTCCAATTTTTACATGTGACTTCGGCTGCTGCTTGAAGGTTTTCATTTCTTCTTGAACGTCGTAGAATGCTGGTCGAGTAGTTGTCTCTGGAGTCCTGAGATAGCCGGACTGGAGCGTTCGCATATTGCAGAAAGTGTTTTTTTTTCGGGACAAGTTAAGTACCAATTTCCCGACCCCGGAGGAATGAGAGACTTGGTTGGTCTGGAGCGGAATCGAACAAGCACTATGCTCGTAATAACAGACATCACTACCACTGTGCTATCCGTTTCTTATGTTGTCGTCACTTTATAATGTTAAAAAGTCCATCAATTTCAATGCTATATTTGTCTTGATTTCAATGTGTGATTTACGGACAAGCGGGAAACGCAGTGCTCAGAAGTGTTCTGCCATGAATATGGTCCTTGATGCAATCGCGCACCTTATTCTTGCCAAGCTCTATATAACACCAAGGTTGGAAATTCACTGCAGACTTGCGTGAGAATACACTGACTTGCTAAATTTGTAAACACGCTAAAGTTACTGTATAGGGGAAGTATGTATTAAGTTGCATTCAACATGCTATGATTGGAGACTTATGCATCACATAACCCTTAGGGAATGACTAATGTCGGACACTTTTACGTCTGTATATGATATGTATATATATACATATATATGTATATGTACGTACACATATGTGTATATGTATATACACGTGTAGGTATGCATATATATATATATATATATATATANATATATATATATATATATATATATACGCATACATGTGTCCATGATATGGTTTCTGAGGTGGAAATCAGCTTTTGATCGAATATAAGAGCTGTTCAGAGGAAATTCTATTATTTTGTGGTCATTCTCTGATTTAGAATTTTGTCTCTTTACCTGTAATACTTGTGTGTACGCGAAAAACATGCGGTAGACATTGGAAGCGAAAAGATGGTTTAAAAATGCCGATAGAGGTTGAGTGGATGCCGTGGAACCTTCGAAGTCGAATAAATTCTCACCAGGTTTTAATCGAAACCTTAATATCGTCCAAATCATATGTGCATAGTTGATCGTTACTTCTGATAATACAGTAAAATCTTTATTTGTGCTGTTCAATCATACCGATTTATGTCTCCAAACTTATTGGATGCAACGGAAACGTGGCAAGATGTGCATACTGTAGTGGACAATCGACTATCTGATACAGAGCTGTTGCCTGTGTCTTCGTCAGGCAACGGCATCGTGGTTGTACTATGAACAGTGGACATATGCCTTTTCGGCGACTAAATAATGACTGCTTAGTGTTTTAAGACAAGTGTAAAATGAGACCTGAGGTCTGAATGATCGGTCTATTTCTTAATAGGAAGCCACATATCTCGAAAACTCGAGGTATCAAAAATTTGAGTTGTCGATTATGATAGGTTAACTATTTGATATGGTGGTATACGTAGTTGTATCGTGCGTGAAACCTTTGTCTGCTCTATTGGCGATTACCTATCCATGCAATGGCGTTTTATCACAAAAAACCACTGATAACGTAAGATGGTATGTAGGGCACCAATTTTTGAAGTGCACTATCCTTTTTTAGTTCGGATGATGAACTAGATTATGAAGACGGTCGGTGTGATAACTGTGGAGAGGAATGCAACACACTGCATCCGATTGACGAAGTCAAGCTGTGTTACGTATGTAGGATGTATTACAAGTAGGAAATTAACTCTGAATGTAATAGTATGACTAGAGAACTGCGGTTCATAACTACAGATTTATGCGAAAACATCGTCCATGTACTTATATATCCGTAATTAATGAGAATCGCCAGAGGAAGCAACGTAAATGTCCTGACGGTGCGTACTTTTAACTTGTCGCTTGTCATGATATCACAGTTCTTGTTTATTGAGATATGCAAGACATCGCCAACAGTTTTACTGAAATGTCCAAACATGTGGATGACAAACCGTCTTCAAGTGACGAAAATGCATGTGGAGGTATAGAGGGTATTCAAACTGCGAAGACAAAATGTCAGGAAGAAACAAGGTTAGCTCTATACCTCAGTTTTTTGAAAAGAGATTTTATTTGCTCGTCGGTCTTTCATGTATAGAGCGGTGACGCGTGAATTAGTGAGAACGCGTTCACGTGTTGTGCGTCTTGAATCGTTGTTAAGAGAACAACGAATAAATGGACTATTGGATGGCTTGGATGAATATAGGTACGTGGACTAGTTTTATGAGTTGTTTAATTTGTAGGGTGAGGCGGGTGCTTGTTTTTGAATTTTTACATTCTCTACATTCTATTTTGATTTGCTTACATGTATGCCATATCTTCAGATTCAATCCCTTAATAGATTGTTATGTATTGATATATTTAGGAATGTAAAGTATAGAAAAGAGATATTTGTGCTCAAATGTGAGGTTTCCATTCCTGCTTTATTTATATATTTATATTTCCTACTATCATTTATCACGTTTATTATATCGTTATATTATTTATTACTATTTATTACGTTTATTTTTATTATTAAAAAGGATAAAACTCTCGGCGCTGATCAATCCCTAAGAGATGCACCATGCATTTGACTTCATTAAGCAACGTTTGGAGGTGATTGAATGCATATCTGTCCTTTACAATGACTCACGGTGGCCTACCGATGTATCGAGCCAGTGCTCCTACCCTCCTAGACAGATCTGGTACCAATTTGCCATCCCAGAGGTATGGAAGGCTTGGTGGGTCATGGGCGCTGGGATCAATTCTACATGTGCGTTGCAGGATGCCTCTGACCACTGCGGCATACACTCCCCTATTTTTGTTATTATTATCTATCTATATATTTGTATTTACTTATGTGTTTACCTCATAGATTTATATCTTGTTATATATACATATATATATATATATATGCGTATTTCTATACAGGTATGTGCATGTATCTATGTATATACATATTTTACGCTACCCGTCTTTCTCATCCACTGTTCGGTTCCCAGCGCTTCTCGCACTCGACTCGTTTTCTCGCATATCACTCGTGAAAGTCTGTCAACTTTTTATGTATGGTTTCGGCTCCTAGAGGTCTACACATTTTTTGCAAAAACTTCGTGTCTATGACCGAGTGGATGAAGAGATTAGCTCTGCTAGCTCCTCTATCCATTAGTAAACTTGTTTAGGAAGCTTTCTCCGGTTCACAACACCCACGGCCCCTTAATGCTTCCATTCGCTCTACTAGGTTTATTTGGAATTTTTAAGAACCGACTCGTTCAAAGTTCAATGAATTCTTTAAAGGAAACCGGAAATTCTGAAGAGCCCGCCGAAGTCACATAAATTTGAACACCTTCGTGGGTGATAAAAACGAGTTAAGGAATCGAATGAAAGAAGTGTGGGGATCCGTACATTAAGCGGTGTCGGATCGTATGAACAAAAAATCGTCAGCATCGATTTTAACAACTTCATGTACTCGTTATTTGCATAGCTAGTGTTCCTTACTTAGATACTTAAATATTCATCCTTGTATTATCCATCATACATCCTTCCATAACGTTTGTGCACTCACAACCTCTTCCATTTATTTCGTTGTCTCTTGGTGATCTTCTCTTGAGGTCTTGAGTTCGTACGTGAGTTTGTCTGGTTGTGGCTCGAAGACTTGTATGCTCTCTTCACTAATATGTTGAATGCTAGTTTAGCGTGTTTTTCCCTGGAATCCAACGATAGCGCTTCAGGGCGTTCCCAAGTCTTCACCACAGTGCGTCGCAGGCACTTGTGAATATGAGGATAGTTTTCTGTATTCTAAGTGATCTCTCGTGGGTGGAACCAAGTCCTGCGACTGTTCTCCGGGGTCTGGCGAGCTTCGTATGGTTACTTTTTCCCAATAAGGATATAAAAGAGGTGGCGCATTAACTAGAGGTGCAATGACGTAATTGGTCCTATTTATGTCCACTGTGCATTTCAGTGTTTCCTTTTGCTGCTATCAAGTAGGTACAGCAAATGGTACACGTGATAAATGTACTTCGATATTTGAATAGCTTTTGTGCACAATTCACGAAAAGTCGTGCGGGTGCGAGCACAGTTTCCACCTCACTGGCAGTTCTGGTTGGGCAAGCTGTTCCTTGTCTGGCATTCCTAATGCCGTGCTAGGCCTCTCCTAGGTCATTTCCACTTTCCAATACTGTTGAGTATGTTTAACGTTTTGTTTTCTGCCTTCTATAATTTTCATGGCAGGTTACTAAGCGAAATACAACCACAACGTTGCTGAGATATTTGCAAAACTCTGGACCGCAGGTGTCTATGGTGGGGAACGAACGCGCTATTATCCTTTCCGGGGAGTAACGCGTTCACCACCACACCATGCGGGTCCTTTGTTTCGCACGTCTCTCAGCTATTTCTATCGATCTTTTTGCCACAGCAATCACCCGTCAGCGGGTTGATTAGCGCGTTCCGTAGCGCGTTCGTTCCCCACCATAGACACCTGCGGTCCAGAGTTTTGCAAATATCTCAGCAACGTTGTGGTTGTATTTCGCTTAGTAACCTGCCATGAAAATTATAGAAGGCAGAAAACAAAACGTTAAACATTGTGATTTCAACTACAGCCATAGCTTAACTGGG